ACAAGTGATCGCCAGCACGCACAACCAATGGCTAACTAGAAGCCTTCGTTTGCTTGAGTGGAACATGGCATAGTAGAATTAGTTCTGAAAAAGAATACCAACTGAGCCCCAAGTTGCGATGAATAAAGAATTTCGATATTCTGACATCACTATCCAATTCTAATCGAACTTTTCGACTCATTCCTTAGTAGGCCATTCTATTGTTCCCACTTTTTCCACTTGTTTCCACTTTTTAAAGAAGGACTCCACTTAACTGCATTAAATTAAGTCAAATTGTAACACCAAATTTTGACCTGGAAATTATCAGTAATACAATAGCGTATAGATTTCAGTACTTTCTATTTCTTAATGTCTTTCCACTGACATGAGTGAAGTTGATCATTCGTTCAAAGGGAAAAATTGACATAAGGGGAGGTGGTGGGGGGGGGGAAGACTATTGGGGAGAACATATTTTTAGTTGCCTCATTGGTTATGAAAAATATCGTCCGTTCTAGGTCTCATGAGATCCAACCTACACAATCAAGTAGACTAAAGCACCTGGAGATATGAGCACAGGGAACTATCTCTCCTTCAGCGCCCTCTTTGCACTTTAAATGGATTTTTTTATAAATTGAGGACAACACGAATGGGAGAATTTATGGAACACATTATTGGGGTGGGAGGGGAGGGGGGAGAGTACTCTGCTAGGCCACTTCGTATTCCGTGGAGGTTAAGATTGATTCTGGTTTGTTGATGACATTTATATGGATGTACTTTCAAATGGAAAATAATAAAAGCTCAAAAATTGGCAAAATTTAGTATACTTGTTTACTTTTCAGGTTTCCCAAAATTGGTTTCCAAATGTACTGAATTGATAAAACTGTTTGACAACTTATTTGGGAACACCAAATTAGATAAGCTAAGGAAACTGCAGTAAATAAAATTAACTGTTTATAACTACAAGTTTAAAATGACTAATTGACAATATTCCAAGTTTGTGAAAATAGAGTATAGGGGGTCTTCAATGAACTATGTGTTTATATTTCTGGAATTCCTAATATCACATTACAACCCTTAGCAGATATTCATTCCCAAACCCTTAATATGATTAAACAGTGAATTGTGGTAGGCGTCTTAGTAACACTCTTTCTATTCTCTGTTCAAGTTCCAAAAGTCAAACTTGCCTAACTAATCAAAACTATTAAAATTTTCGATTAGCATCTGCTCTCTGTGACATTCAACACGTGTTAGCATGAAACATGAAGGAATACGAGCCAATTAAATTGAATTTACCCACCACTTACAATAGGGACGCTTCACTTACTAAGTGCTTCAGAAGCAAAATTGTTCGTAGGCCATATATTAATGGGATTTTCGAACAAATTCTGCGCTCGGTCGAGTTTACTCGACACACTTTGAGCTCGACAACGTCCAACAGGGGTAATTGAAGTCGATGGACCCGGCGTTGGAGGTGGCAGAGGACGCGATTGGGTCCACTCGGTCATCCTCTGTCCGATATCGGAGTGCTGAAAAAAGAAATAAAAACAAAATAGAAACAGTGACTGCGATGAACTGGAATACCACTGAATATTACAAACAAATATGGAATAGGTGGGCACTGAAGGACATAGTTTGGCCACCCTTAAAGAAGCCAAGTAAGTAGCTTGCATTAAATTTGTTTTCTCACTTTTATGCGGTAAACTTGCTAATCTATTTGAAATTTTGTAACAATTTACAGCATGATGATGGCTGCCTAAGCCGGTCTGAATGATATAAGTTCCAAAATAGAAAGCTCAGCTGAACTTCGGACAAAGATGGTAACTGATTTGGCAACATAACTGATTAGAAGCAAATGGCAGCGGTGGGGAGATAAATTGATTGGTTTTGCGTGGGTGGCATGTAGTTAGGAGAAGGGTTGCGAAATGTTATAGTTTGGTAATTGAAAGTTGTCACACGATGAACCAATATAATATAGCATTAGGCTAAGTATATGCAGACCGATTTAATACGTTGATTTATCGGAAACATAGAGAAAAGCATTTTCCAACAAAAAAACGTGGCGTTAAGCATACAGTCTGGGAAATTAAGAGATACTAAGATGAAGGGCACTGCTGATAAACCCTAATACACCCTACAGACAAAAGTCATAACCCTTAGAAGGAATATTCTTAAAAAATTGGCAGCAACATTTAACCTTAAATTTGAACCCGAACTAACAGTTAATTTAAAATTACAATGGGATTGGAAAAAACGAAAATTTTCTTACCCCGCTCACACCGTTATCTTATCCGACACTTTTGTTTGGCATGATGACTCATCTGTCCTAACTGTCACAATAATCATCTACTAGGAGAAACAAATGTATGAATCTGATAAATGAAATTCCATGGATTCTATCAAGAGCGTGTGCTTGGAAACGGAAGATTCAACTATTAAAAGTCATCAAATGAGCCTTGGGGAAGAACTTACACTAAGACTCGGGAGATACATCCTAGTTATACATAGCACACGGGAATGCGCTTCAAAAGAAAGTGGAAAACCTATTAGCGAAAATCAGAAGATGTGAAACTAGCTTGTTACCCTAATTATAATCGCAGTCAACTGAACTGGAAAAGAGTATGAAAGAGTACTTACCAGGAATGCATAACCATAACACTAGTAATGAGAGGAATTAAAAGCAGAACCTACTGGATGAGGGACAACTGAAGTCCCCACAGGAAGTGAGGTAACATCCACATTAAGCGGACCCATTTCAGGGGTGTCGCGGGAGGCGATCGATCCAGCTGCAAGACTCAGCACAAACAATCCATCGTCAGAATTTATTGGCATCTGGGGAGAGGGAACAGCATGGAGAGGTAGAGAGTGTTCAATTTGTTCATACCGGGGATAGCTCATTTTCCACAATGGATGAACCGGGACAGGTGGAGCAGGTGTGAGGAGTGGAGGTGGTGGTAGACAACTAGACTCCGAAGTGACTGTAGTGGATGTTGGTGCCAATGGTGCAGGAGCAGTTGACAGAATGGGTGGCGAGTTGACCCCAAGGATGGGATTAGGGACCCTTTGAAAGCATTCAATCAATGCTTGATACTGTACAAGGAGGGGTGGTCAAAACAAAGAGGTCGTAAATCACATGATCACTTGATTACGTAAACACAAACTCTTCAGTCATGTGATTTAATGTTGTCTGCAACCAAGAGAGCGCTAACATTTGTCCAAATAGTAATAAATGTCTGGAACTCAAAGTTTTACAATAAGTCTCAAATTAAGGGCCTGGGTTTTTCCATAATATTAGCTCTCCACCCTAAATGAGTGTTGGTAAACGCTATTGTACATGAGCTTGAAAGTTGCTACGATTAACACAATGTACAAAATTGCAACGGCGCTCAACATTTTAATCATAATAGAGACTGCTTATCTCCTCCTCCGTCTCACCCATTTAAATAAGTCTGAATTTTAGCAGACTTCCATCCTATCTCTTGGCCAATAATAACTTAAAAGGCATCACGTGATGGAGAGCGATGAATCATTGCAATTTTGTGCGCGACAGTTCACAAAATGGCATTATCGCTGCATCGCACTGCTTCAAATTTGGGTGAGAGTGAATTTCACTTGTGTTTCTTACCAATTGAGTGTTCTTTCTCTTTTTGAGCTATTTCACCCCTTATCCAAAGATGCTCAAAAGCTTCGAGTTAGAAATACCACGTAAAATTATTTATATAGTAGAAGCAATCCTCCAAACTAACCTTTGCAGCAAACTCTCCCCAACTACGCAAGAGAAGATCAACTCTCTCGTTGATTCCCGTCGGTAGAGAAGTCAAAGAGGAGGATGGGGAGGAACTAGCATTTGAAAGTGTTTCTGGAAACTTGGACATTGGGGCATCGACGCCATATTCATTGTTGGAATTTATTATCAAACGGATCGTATCAAGGAATTTAGTAGCTAGTATAGATTCACGAATTGCTGCCTCGGTACCATGGTCAAATAGTTCGTGGCATGCTTGACGCAGAGTATCATGGAATTCGGGTTTAATTGCATGACGCTGATATGACAGATCAAGTGGTCTCTCGGTAGCATTAATATCTACAAAAGAGTGGGTGGTTGAAATATACGTGAATGATGTATAGGAGAATGTAAATGGGCTGGAGATATCGAAATTTAATAGATTTAAAAGAAATATAGAACAAGACTCACTAGTGTTTATAACAGCCTCAATCAGCCAATGCACCGACTCACTCAACAACAATTCCGGAAACTGAAGCAACTTGGTTTTAAACTATCCCTACCAAAGGTAACAAAAACTGCTTTCTAACAGTACACCAACTGGGATTTCTTATGTTGACTCGGCGACATACCTCATGTACATTTAGACTGGAGTAGTCATGAAAATTGGCTGACAAACATTTTCCATTTTTCTCTGAGATTTGACAACGGCTGAATTTGCCTTCTGTCACACATATGACTCAACATTGTCTACACGTGTACTATTACTCTGTCTCTAACTACTTCACTGGCCCATAATTCCATTTTGACATCCGAATTCAAACTAAGCTCCTTTTCAATCAACTTCGAGGGAGATACCACTTCACCCTCGAGAGCAGGAAGACACATCCACAAACTATCACGATTTTACCAATTTACCTCCATGACTCAGACAGTGT